ACTTACGACATCTTTCATCAATTTAAGGGACTTTGAGTTAATGAGAGTGCGCTGTCCATCAACAATATGGATGACTGCAGCTGATACACTGCAGCTAAATGACCTCTTCACATCACGGCAAGGAGAACCTTCTTAGACCGGACACTCCGGCTTCCGGACCATTTCTTTGAAGAACGTTCGCATAGAGCTAAAATGGTCCACATTGCGTGCGTGTGCGTGCGTGCGTGCGTGCGTGCGTGCGTGCTTGCGTGCGTGCGTGCGTGTTTAAGGTTTGAGATGAGCATGTTTTTTTATGATGTTTAGTAAATTAATTATGCTTACCAACAATAAACACGTGCTCAATTATTGGTTTTTGGAATAAAGACAAAAATAAACAAAATGTATTCCTTGTGTACCTGCCAACACGAAAATGACCTATTATTTTTTCCCTACTTTGTGAGAAATATGTCATATATTTTAGGGACTTGAATTGATTATTCATTTGGAACCCCATCCTTCAATCCCGAAAATCAAACCAGGAGGTTTCGTATAACAACTTAGCCATGGCTAGCTCATTTAATTCGTATTAATCTTATGGCGAGTTAGTTCTATATTTAGCCGTGACGCAAGATTCGTTCGTTTTCTTTCCTGATAAGGGTGTTAATTGTGCAATTGAGAGCACACATCTCCAGCCTTTTTGACAGATGCAGAGATCAGATTCTTTCACATAAGATTGAAACATCACGCATCCTGTGCTATAAGCACCGCAAGTTTCTAAATGCCATCGGGTAATAGAATCGCGAAAGCTATTCGTCAAAGCCAACGCGTTGACAGTTCTGAAATGCATCGAGTCGGCTCAGGTCTCCCGGACGACGATATACTGAAACAGACCACGCCCTCGTTATAAGGCGCGTAAATGGATAATTACTTCGTCATTCGCATCGATTGAGGCTTATGCAAATCGCCTCATGCTTCTATATGGAAAGGCTGGTCAGCGGTTCTTCACTAATCACTGACCTTTAGTTTCAAAGCTCCTTAAATGAAATAGAATGAAACGATTTTCAATCAAAGTATTATTCAGTTAAACCATTTATCTAGAAAACTTGAAGTGAGAGCAGATGTATAAAATGCACACACGTTTCCTGATTTGTTTTTGATGTTACTAGTATTTTGACAATCGCTTCCCGCCGGGGCTCTTTCTCCCCGGCCAATAGGAGAATGTTACCGTACATTCTGTGACGGTGTCATTGCGTGTGTTGTCAATCACACGGGACAAATGCAGCAATGTTTACACGATGGAAATAATGCGCCTCGCGGGAAAAGAAGAAAATAAAAGAGTAATCAAATGTCAAGACCAATGGTATTAAATCCTTTGTTGATTCCGAGGAGGTATATGTCCCCAGTACCCATGTTTGTGCGGGGACTTCCACAGGAATTGTTTTATTCCCAATGGGATTCTGAACAAAATAAATCCCAAGTAGCCACTCCCCTTTGGGATTCCCAACAAATGAGACCCCCAGAACCCATGTGTCTTCCCTTTAGGATTCCCAACACATGAGACCCCCTGAACCCATGTGTCTTCCCTTTATGATTCCCAACACATGAGACCCCCTGAACCCATGTGTCTTCCCTTTGGGATTCCCAACAAATTAAACCCCCAGAACCCATGTGTCTTTCCTTTAGGATTCCCAACACATGAGACCCCGAGAACCAATGTGTCTTCCCTTTTGGATTCCCAACACATGAGACCACCAGAACCCATGTGTCTTCCCTTTGGGATTTCCAACAAATGAGACCCCAGAACCCATGTGTCTTCCCTTTAGGATTGCCAACACATGAGACCCCAGAACCAATGTGTCTTCCCTTTGGGATTCCCAACACATGAGACCCCCAGAACCAATGTGTCTTCCCTTTGGGATTCACAACACATGAGGCCCCCTGAACCCATGTGTCTTCCCTTTGGGATTCCCAACACAAGAGACCCCCAGAACCCATGTGTCTTCCCTTTACGATTCCCAACCCATGAGACCCCCAGAACCCATGTGTCTTCCCTTTAGGATTCCCAACACACGAGACCCCCAGAACCCATGCGTCTTCCCTTTAGGATTCCCAACACATGAGACCCCCTGAACCCATGTGTCTTCCCTTTGGGATTCCCAACACATGAGACCCCCAGAACCCATGTGTCTTCCCTTTAGGATTCCAACACATGAGACCCCCAGAACCCATGTGTCTTCCCTTTGGGATTCCCAACACATGAGACCCCCAGAACCAATGTGTCTTCCCTTTGGAATTCCCAACACATGTGACCCCCAGAACCCATGCGTTTTCTCTTAGAGATTCCAACACATGAGACCCCCAGAACCCATGTGTCTTCCCTTTGGGATTCCCAACACATGAGACCCCCAGAACCCATGTGTCTTCCCTTAGGGATTCCAACACATGAGACCCCCAGAACCCATGTGTCTTCCCTTTAGGATTCCCAACACATGAGACCCCCAGAACCTATGTGTCTTCCCTTTAGGATTCCCAACACATGAGACCCCAGAACCAATGTGTCTTCCCTTTGGAATTCCCAACACATGAGACCCCCAGAACCCATGCGTTTTCTCTTAGAGATTCCAACACATGAGACCCCCTGAACCCATGTGTCTTCCCTTTGGGATTCCCAACACATGAGACCCCCAGAACCCATGTGTCTTCCCTTAGGGATTCCAACACATGAGACCCCCAGAACCCATGTGTTTTCCCTTTAGGATTCCCAACACATGAGACCCCCAGAACCCATGTGTCTTCCCTTTGGAATTCCCAACACATGAGACCCCCAGAACCCATGTGTCTTCCCTTTGGGATTCCCAACCCATGAGACCCCCAGAACCCATGTGTCTTCCCTTTGGGATTCCAACATATGAGACCCCAGAACCCATGCGTCTTCCCTTTAGGATTCCCAACACATGAGACCCCCAGAGGCCATGTGTCTTCCCTTTGGGATTACGAACACATGAGACCCCAAAAATCCATGCGTCTTCCCTTTGGGATTACGAACATATGAGACACCCAAAATCCATGCGTCTTCCCTTTTGGATTCCAACAAATGAGACCCCAGAACCCATGTGTCTTCCCTTTAGGATTCCCAACCCATGAGACCCCCTGAACCCATGTGTCTTCCCTTTGGGATTCCCAACACATGAGACCCCCAGAACCCATGTGTCTTCTCTTTAGGATTCCCAACCCATGAGACCCCCTGAACCCATGTGTCTTCCCCTTAGGATTCCCAACACATGAGACCCCAGAACCCATGTGTCTTCTCTTTAGGATTCCCAACACATGAGACCCCCAGAACCCATGTGTCTTCCCTTTGGAATTCCCAACACATGAGACCCCCAGAACCCATGTGTCTTCTCTTTAGGATTCCCAACCCATGAGACCCCCAGAACCAATGTGTCTTCCCTTTGGGATTCCCAATCCATGAGACCCCAGAACCCATGTGTCTTCCCTTTGGAATTCCCAACACATGAGACCCCCAGAACCCATGTGTCTTCTCTTTAGGATTCCCAAAACATGAGACCCTAGAACGCATGCGTCTTCCCTTTGGGATTCCCAACACATGAGACCCCAGAACCCATGCGTCTTCCCATTAGGTTTCCAACAAATGAGACCTCCAGAACCCATGTGTCTTCCCTTTGGGGCAAGATTGCTGGTACAACTTTGGGATTCCGAACAAAATAGGCTCCGTGTGTTCACGTTTGCATTCTACTTGGACTTTTGGAACTAAATTTAGATAGATACCCAGTTCTTGCCTCAGTATGGCGATTTCGGTGGACAAAAGAGATCACCATGTTAGTCTCCCCTTCTAAAAAGGGGATCCGGTGATAGCAATCGACGCTGAACATGAATACGGAAGACCTGGTCGGTGCTAACTGTAACACAAGGAAGAGGAGCGCATGCTGTCGAAACACGCACGCAAAAACTGCGATGCTAAGAAGTCAAGGCAGCAAGGGAGAAACTTACGTTCTAAGGATCAAGTTTGGGTCAGAGTTACTGCTTTACCTCAAAGACCAATAATCACATACGAATTTTCCGGCAACTCTGCACAGCGAATTGCGGCGCCTCAGACGACTGGGCCACCCGTGCCCCCTCGTGCCATTATGAGAAGCCCCAATTTATGTAGGACTTGGACGTTTGACATTTTGGTGAACCCCATGAGCATGTGTATGGAACTGACAAACCTAGAATTATATTCAGGTCGAATCTGGGATTCGAGCCGACGAGGGACACAACTCTGCATATCGACAACGTGAATGTTGACTGCATAGAAATAACAAGTATTCGAAAAAAACACATACCGGTCCAGGGACGTATTGAAATTATATGACGTCGTTGCAACGTCGTGGCGTTGTGCCGTATAACTCAAGATGGGTTAAACTTTTATACATTTCTCTCTCATATTGTTTGTCACGTGGAATCTGTCAAGGAGTTGTAAACGTTTTTTCATGTTCCCTTATTTTCTGCCGTCAGTATAACCACCTCAAGATTCCGATCAGCTGTACCAAAGCATGCCGAAATAAAACCTGAAAAGCTTTTGATATTTTAAATATTAATATAGAATAATATCTCTCCGTTATCAAGTTTAAAAAAATTAACGCCGAGATACCACTGTTATATCATAAATATAACATATTTTCATCGATTGAAAACATCACAGTGTTAGAAGACTTCCATCCAGACACGTAATGCTGCACCAGAGGGAATTTTTCAAATCGACAAAAGCGGTAATGACATTATTTCCCCTTAAAGTACAAACTTTCCGAAAGCTTGTCTTAAACTAATACATGCACCACCCAAGCAAATCTATACTTTACAATCCAAACCAATCTAAAGCTATCAACATCTGCAAATATTCTTGGAAACTAAGGAATTCGACTCTTGGAAACTCAGGAATGCGCGGCCATTCAACAGTTTGAAAGGATCAAATCCTTCCCACCCAAAACTAAACGGTCGTCCATTTAAAAATATAAATACAAGGTTTAAATAGTTTATTGGCACAACGACAGGCAGCAGAGAAAGAAGACGGGCACACCTATGTATAGATATAGATATAATATATAATATATGTATGTAATATATTTATGTATATACACTCTGGCGAGTAAGACACCTGTCAACAAGTATGTAGATATATAACATGCTTTCATAGGAAACACTTTCAAAACTTTCATATAATACTGATTATCATGAAAGATACTGATTATCATGAAAGGTAAAGTCTGTTGTTATTGTGAGGTGATTGCATGATAATATACAGCGACGAGACCATGAAAACAGTCCAATACCAGGCTGATTACAGGGCGCCAAACTGGCCTCGCTTTGAGGTACAGAGGGGTCAAGGCTGTACCAAAGTGAGATAAATCAGCCTGCTATTTTCTACTGCTTTACTAGTCTACACTTGACGACTATCGAAGCTGTGGTTCACATTTGTCCTTGGATTGGCATGATGAATAGGTTTCCGTTCGGGTGACGTTTTGAAAGTTGTAGTCATGGCAACAGAGAAGGAAAAAGGAATCAAACACGCGCTACAATATATAGGTCATTTTTGAAGCATGTCACGGCGTATCTTGCAAAGAAAAAGCGTACAAAACTTAGATTTGTCCATATTTGTGCAGTCACACCGATGTGTCTGTCAACATTCGTAGCACTAGGAAAAACCAGCAGGTACGTCAGTATCCTTCTGAAGAACCTGGTCCATTGTATTCATGGTTCATGTTCCAATGGCAAGGAGGACACAAGTCACTTATTCTTCACAAAAATATTTCCATAACAAACAGAAAGCCCTTTGAAGTCCTGGCGGTTGTTCCGTGAATAAAACACGTCGTCGTTATTCTTAACGTCACACCAAACAGGGGCGTCGCCTGCAATGGTCCAGCAACTCCGGAACCACATCAACTAGTCTGATTTTCAGTAATGATCGTAATTCAGGCCATGTCGACCTACAGCGCGGTCTCGTCACCAGTGACGGCCGTTCTGCCATTTTCTGTTGGCAAGGTCATATACTGCGAGTAGTCACGATCAAGCTGAACTTGGCCTCCAGTAAACAGGCGTTTAAATGTCTCCCGGAACTGTTTACTCATTCCGCAGTAAATAAAGAAGTTGAGGGGGTAACTCAGGAGGATAAAGAAGTTGGACATGAGGGAGAGAATGTTCATTGTCTCCCTCTCGATGATGGAAACGCCGAACGTATTTTCCACAATCATAATGATCATTAGTATACCGAGGGGGAACTCCACAAGGAGGAACAGCCCCACGACTGCCACAAGCATTAACGTCGTGCAGTTGCTATCTTTCAACTTTTTGGATTCGCTTTTTTTGTTCTGACGTAACAACTGCATGCGCCGACGTTGCGCACAACGCATGGCGTAGATTAACAACGCGTTCATGACGACTAGAGAGATACATGGTACTAGATGGATGAAAATCACCCGAAACCCAAAATAGATGTTATAATATATATCTAACTTTCCTACTACCCACTTCCGATGGCCGAACTCACAGCCAATCACAGTCTGATTTAGGTGGAGCTCGGAGGGAAGCGCAACTGGAGTTATCTCCTCCTCGAAGAACCTACATAGTTGACTTAATATGGCTATAAGGTATATAACAACCGTCCCTCGGATAACGTTCGGTATGGTACACCACGTCCTCGCTCGAAACGAATGACATACATAGATATATCTTTGAATGGCAAGAGCCATTGTTAGCCAAATAGATGCAGTGTGGAAAATGATTGGTATATATTCCGATAAGTACTTATATGCGTAGCACCATTCATACGGTACAATTTCTCGAAACCGTTCTGTCCCAAAGAAGTAGATGAATATTGGCACGGGGAATACCCCGGTCAACATGTCGGAGATCGCCATGGCAGCTAGGAGTACATTGGTAGGAGATCGCATGTGCCGCTTCAAGAGAACAACGCACACCAAGGTGTTGTTGATGATTGTCAGGAATACAAGAATCGGCGAGATGTAACCATTTATCGGAACCGAGTATTGTCCTGGGAACATCATTGGTAGAAACAGGTATTTCTTCATCATGGGGGGAGGGGTAGAATGATATGTTGAGTTTAGCGTGGTAGACATGTCGGTGGTCGCCATCTTTGAATCTGCCGATATATTGTCGATCATGCCGTCCATCACAGCATGATGTCTCACGGCGCACAGAGTGACTAATTCCACAAGCAGCTCTCTTCGCCGTTACCAGATCCTAAGCTCTGGCTGAGAAATTAGTTCAACAAACTTGTGGTCAATATTTGGTCCCGCAGAAATGTGGATAAGTCAGACACGCCGAAATAACTATTAATCTCCTTTCGAGGATGTTTTCTGTCAGTACTCACAGTATCAAATCAGTATTAATACTCAGTATGTTGATGGCCGAGGAAATCCTTCCGCTTCATTCAATCACGTATAGAAGTCATCTTGCGTTTCATATCAGGGATCCGTGAACCAGCTTCAGTAGCACGAAGTCCCCGTAATGACGTCACGCGTCCCCCGTGTCGTACATCCACAAGAATAACAGCCGTATTTTAGCTATTTCATAATTTTCGAACCTGTTCTTCGTAAACACACACTCGATGAGCACTCAACTGTTTGTTAAACACGAAAGCTCAACGTCAACTCCTACCAAGCATCAACAAATGCCATACAGGTCATTCCAGGAAAAATACGTCAGTCTGAATGATCCGTGACTACAGGTTGGCCGCTATCCCCCGGTCCGCAAGGGCAAGGTTGCGACGTCAAAAGACCAGAATGAGGCTATAACGTTACCGCGACGCTTGACGTTGATAAGCACTGACGTCAATCTACAATGAAACAACAATATAGTCAGGGTATGAGATGACGGTCACTGAATCTTGATCTATCGAATCGCGCAGTGAAACATGAGGCACGTGACTGTGACTCTGTGACTCTGTGACTCAGGTACGTGACTGTTAAGTCTGGGTATATCGAATGACTAGCAATGACATATATCATGATACATTAGGGCATATGTGACAGCCATAGAATACAAATAAATGTGCAGCATGCTTACAGAGCAACAGCTTGTAGCATCAGGGATGCTTTACGTCACTTTCAAACTATCTGTCTATCTCTGCGTGTCTGGCTATCATCGGCATATCTGTCGTCTATCTGTCCCTATCTGAATATACATGGATGTCTATAGATCTATCAACATATGTATATATATATGAATGTATATATCTGTCTATCTACATCTATGTATCTATGTTTATTACATATCTATATACATCTATGTATCTATGTATGTTATATATCTATATACATCTATATATCTATGTATGTTATATATATACATCTATATGTCTATGTATGTTATATATCTATATCATCTATATATCTATGTATGTTATATATATATACATCTATATATCTATGTATGCTATAAATCTATATCATCTATATATCTATGTGTTATATATGTATATACATCTATATATGTATGTATTTTATATATCTATATACATATATATATCTATGTATGTTATATATCTATATAAATCTATATATCTATGTATGTTATATATAAATATATATACATCTATATATCTATGTATGCTATAGATCTATATCATCTATATATCTATGTATGTTATATATGTATATACATCTATATATCTATGGGTTATATATGTATATACATCTATATATCTATGTATGTTATATATGTATATACATCTATATATCTATGTGTTATATATCTATAAACATAATATATCTATGTATGTTATATATCTATATTCATCTATAATCTATGTATCTCTCTATCTATCTCTCTCTCTCTCTCTCTCTCTCTGATTGATTCATCTCCATTTAAAACTACAACGGTATTATTTGGGGGGTTCATGTCGAATTTTGTCGAAGTCCTACTACGAATACACAAGTGAAAGTAAATTATACTTACAGGATGAGACTACGTGTGAGCTCTTCCAAAGGAATCCTGACAGGACACACGATGTCATCAACGTTTTATCAATGTCTTTTAAGTGTTTATTCTTGACTAACAACGCCGGACAACGCGTCAGAGCCCCGTCTGTCCACCACAACGACCATCATGTAGACATGAAATATTCCATGACATCGAGGTCCACAAGTCCGTGCAGTCCACACACGGGCGTCCCTTCACATTGTGTGCAGCAGGGCACACTCCGATTCCAAGTTGTTAATATCCCAGTTTAATGAAACCTACAGTCTTGTCTTTCACGAGAACCGCTGTCTCCGTTCAGTGGTTAATAAAGACAGTCAATGTCTTGACTGAATGTCTTAGGTTATGTGTAATTATTCAAGGGAGGTATTCTTTAAGCTGAATCTTGTGTTAAAGAACATGGCGAAGCGTAGAACACCGTGATGTGAGCTTAAATACACGAGTCCAAGAGTGTTAGGAGAAGCGTTCGTCGGCGAAATACCGTCCTTTTCTCAGAGATTTTCCTTTTGTATGTACGAAGTGCAATTTCATAAGGTAACACACACTAAGACAGTTATGGAGACGAGATAAATACTCAATACCATATATTGAATAATATTAACAATTACCTTGATTCACTGGCGTTAATCCAAGCAGAAACACCAAGCACAGTATATCACAAAACTAATAGTTTGCCTGCTGGAGGCGAGCAAAGTATCCACAGCGTCACTGCAAAATCAGTCGCATATGTCTCCAAAGGTAGCTGGCAATACTTAAGACTCGTGCCACACTATAGGTATCTAATACCTGCAGCAAAAGGCCGGAAAGTGGCAACGCTTCCTACTAAGAAAAACACACGAAGCCAGCGGTGAGAGCCCTCAAATCTCTTTTCCGATATCCGCTCTCTTATCAGGAGCTGTGCCTCCAGTTGGCGCGACAACTCTGCAGCACTGCCGCGGCAAGAATGGCTTCAACGGAGACTCCTTAATGGTGAGTGTCGTTTCCAGATAGCCAATGCGCTCCGCACACAGCTCGCCGGGTTATGAGAGTGGTCGAGAGCCCTCGCCGACTCGCAGCACCTAGAAAAGAGAGGACAGAGTATTAGGGACGGCGTTCAGACAGACATGTTTCCAACGGGATCCGGTATCGAAATGTAACAGATCACCACGGCGATGGAGCTTTTAAACTGGTTTGATTTCACTGAAAATTTGCTAACTCACATTGGTTGATGTTCGTGGGTGAGCTTGGTGACTGAAGGTGTGGTGTATTTGATATACAGTGTGCGAGTTGACAGCTTGCGGAATCGAGATATTAAAGCCCGTATCGGTTGTCATCAAGTCCCTTCATTAATCCTAACAAGCAATCGAAATTTGTCCTTTGCGAATACGCGTCGGGGCGTTATGGCCGGGTTGACCGTAGAGGAGGTTTTTTATTATTGTCCTAAACATTGATCATTAACGGAAGTAGTATCACGATGCAAGGCCTGATTCGCTCGACTCCCTGGGGGGATTACCAGACGCTGAAACATCTCGGACAGCGGAAATGTAATTTCGAGTTTCACTGGGTCGTTTCAAAGGCAAACAATTAATGTTCTGCTAAGCGACGTGATGTGAAGCGTCAGACCCCTCTAGAGTTATGACTAAAGCCTGATAGTTGCGTACTTGTGTTTTTTCACACACCTCTGTGGAGATTTACAAGCGTTAGAAAAGTGGCCAAATAAATGTTTTTTAAATACGTTCCTTATATTTGTTTGATGCATTTGAATGGTGTTAAGGGAGTTCTCCTTCTCTACTTATACACGGCTTTGCTTTATTTGTCATTGTGGAAATACAAGGTGAGGTGAAGGTGGATTATGGTCGCGTTCAAGATTATTTAACACGTGCATGCTCGTGTGTGTGCTTTATTTGTCATTGTGGAAATACAAGGTGAGGTGAAGGTGGATTATGGTCGCGTTCAAGATTATTTAACACGTGCATGCTCGTGTGTGTGTGTGTGTGTGTGTGTGTGTGTGTGTGTGTGTGTGTGTGTGTGTGTGTGTGTGCTGATTTTATAGTGAGATACCATGCCGCAGTTTATCATGGATACCCCACTCAGACGCAGCATACTGACTCCGAGCCGACCAGTCCTTGTTTCAGCCCTTTAATGCCGAGCACAGGCAGGGTAAATACAAGGACTATTATGCAATATAAACACAGCACGTATATATACGGGAGAAAATCTATATTTACCGTTAGATAACTATAAATGAAATGAGCTAAGTATATGACCTTTGGAATGACGGGGTGAAATGTACAACTATAAAGTCAACGGATATGTGTTTAATGTGATGTACGCCCGTCTTGTCTGTCCGCTTGTCAGACAACACCAGCCCCTAATCGATATGGAAGGTATGTGTTTGGCCGTCCCTGAAGAGAGATGGGGGTGGGTGGTTTGGAGGTGGATGTGTGGGGTGTGCGCTGGGGTAGGTGGGTAGGGGTATGGGTGGGGTTGGGTGGGGGTGGATGTGAGGGGTGTGCGCTGAGGTAGGTGGGTAGGGGTATGTTAGTGTGTGTATGGGGGGGGGGGGGGGGGGGGTTTGGAGGTGGAGGTGTGGGGTGTGCGCTGGGGTAGGTGGGTAGGGGTATGGGGGGGGGGGTTTGGAGGTGGAGGTGTTGGGTGTGCGCTGGGGTAGGTGGGGGGTAGGGGTATGTGTGTGTGTGTATGGGGGGGGGGGGGGGCGGTTGGGGTTGATGTGAGGTGTGTGCGCTGGGGTAGGTGGGTAGGGGTATGTGTGTGGGTGTATGGGGGGGGGGTTTGGGTTGATGTGAGGTGTGTGCGCTGGGGTAGGTGGGTAGGGGTATGTGTGTGGGTGTATGGGGGGGGGGGGGGGTTGGGGTGGATGTGAGGGGTGTGCGCTGGGGTAGGTGGGTAGGGGTATGTGTGTGGGTGTATGGGTGTATGTGTGTTTTGGGGGGTGGATGTGTTGGGTGTGCGCTGGGGTAGGTGGGTAGGGGTATGTGTGTGGGTGTATGGAGGGGGGGGGGGGGGGGCAGGGGTAATCAGGCGAGGGTCATAAAACATAATACACATATTTAGGGTGGGTCTTGCAAAAACGAGTTTTTATTATAAAATATAAAGTGCTTATGCATTTTATCTTTTCGGAAAGGTCATATACAAGGACATGGGGGGGGGGGGGGAGGCATGGGTATGGATGTACCCCAGCGCATGTAATTCATGACCAGTCATTAATATCTTCATTATGCAGAAAATAAATTCACTTAAAAAATGTAAAATGTCACGTCGTTTACATGATTATGTCGTTATGGGGCATTTTAATTTAACTAATTATAATATGTATGCAGTGTATGCTTACACGGAATATCATGTGTATACATATTCAGAATAGTCTTATAAAGGAGCGTTCTGTCGGTCTCCTTGTGACGTAATTGACGCCGCATGTGTGTCCTTGCTTATTGGTAAACATATTTGCGAAGATATATGCTGAGAAATACATGTTTGCCTACACGCAACATTGTGTGGGTGTAGCTCAGAGCTTATTTTGGAATCCAGTAGTTATTTTTAACAAACAACTTATTCTTAGTATGAATGTGCTATTTTTTTAAGTTATCACTCGAAATGGACTTTTAACTCAGCTTAGATTTCATATTCTTTTTCAAAAATAGCTATGAGTGTTTATCAATTGTTACTGGGGTATGTGTATGTGTTGTTTATTATTTGCAACTTTATTGTTTATTGTTCTTATGTTGAGGGGGCGGTGGCGTATCTGAGTGGTTAAAGCGTTCGCTCGTCACGCCGAAGACCCGGGTTCGATTCCCCTTATTGGTACAATGTGTAAAGCCAATTTCTGATGTCCCCCGCCGTGATATTGCTGGAATATTACTTAGAGCGGCGTTAAACCATACTCGCTCACTCACTCTTATGCTGAGTTACGTCCCTTAGCTGTGTCAGGATCCACGGGCCGTGGTTCGAATCCTCGATTATGAGGATACATGATCGTGCTCGTTAGCTTCACCAATATGATAAAGGCCTACGATCCACACATCTCACTCACTCACTCACTCACTCACTCACTCACTCACTCACTCACTCACTCACTCACTCACTCACTCACTCACTCTCTCACTCACTCACTCACTCACTCACTCAAAGGTCCGATTATCGGGATACGATGTATCGAGGCATCATTGTTTCACAGCATATGGGGCACGGGGTAAACTAAAAACTCCTTTCGTCACCCACTTTGGCCGCCAAAGCTCTGTACTTGAGGAGATCTTGTCAATTTGTTTAAACTGAGGCCAGCACGGCATTGCTACATAAAGTTTACGAATTGTCCAGCATTAACACGACAAGGGACACCAGAGGACTTCACACACTGTATCCATGTCGTGATCAAACCTGGGATTTCGGCATGACGACCGCGAGCTAATGCTTAAACCACAAGGCTTTCCCACCGCCCCGGTTCAAGACGAACCCTAAATGAAATTTAAAAAATCGCAATATGAAATGATAAAAATGTATTTTAAAACGTATTCAGATGAGCTTTTTCGTTTTTAGAAGACAGCTGAGAAGTGCCCAAAGAAAGCATACGTTATGGCGGGCGATGAGATTCACAGCTACAATCCTTTCACTGTCCCCTGGTTTTTAAGACCGCCTCCGTGGTCTAGAGAATAGAGCGTTTTGCCCGGAGAACCGTAGGTCAGTTCCTCGATCCCCGACCGTGACGAACCAAAAGACGTTAAAATATGGCTTGTGTCTTTACTCTGCCTGGCGCGTAGGCATTAGGGGCATAAAACAAGGGCTGGTCGGCTCGGAGTCAGAACACTGTGAGGGATGGGATGTCTATTATAGAATTGCGGCGTGGGCTTGCGCTGTTAAACCAGCATTAATCCGCGCTAGTAACAGCAACACGCACGCACACACGCACGTAGGCACGCACGCACACACGCAGGCAGGCAGGCAGGCAGGCAGGCAGGCACGCACGCACGCACGCACGCACGCATGCAAGCATCCGCGCGCGCATGCCCGTTGCTACATAAATGCAATAATCTTGAACACGAAGTTAAACCCCATTTTACCTAAACTTACCTCCTGTTTCTTAAACTGAGCTGTAATCTCTCATTTGCTTTAAGTAAACGTTATTGGCAAAAGAGCCCAACAAAACGCAAATGTTTTAAAGAATTAGCTGTTCACACGTTGTCAGTAAGTCCTTAACGTTGGTTGTACAGAGCCTATCGAGATCGAATGGTTGTGTTTAATCCTGAAGCTTTTAGCAAAATGTTCTCCAAAAGGATTTTGTGAAGCCCTGCAAATGTTGAATTTAGAAAGGGCTTTGAATCGGGTAGCTTGAATACACAAGGATTTCCAAGAATGAGCTTGCATGTTTTAACTCTCCTGAAATCAAGACCGACATCAAACACATCGAATGAGATTCGAACCCACGACATTGTTGTGTTTGATTATCTCGTGCCGAAATACACACAACAACAACATTTGATTTTGTGGCCATTTTTCGAAATATTACAAAAAATCGAATATGCTTTTTCGAAGTGTTTTGGAACAGGAGTGATCTGCCCACGAGATTGGAAAAAAACAACCTGAATGTTTACGGTGCAAGAATAGACAAACCCTTTGGTCTACCTGATTATTATAATATTGGATCGAGAAAAAAATTCTCAAAGAAGATTCTTGAAAAAAAAAAAATTACGTTTCAGACTGATGAAAAAAAGAACTTGTCTGCCACAAAAATTACATTGTTACAACGTGTTTTTCGTACAAAAAATATTCAGGCCCATAGTTTACTAAGGAATATGTTTTTTTCAGCTGTAAGTGATGGTGGTTCTCCAATTATTGTTACCATGCAGATATTCATGAATTCAGTGACAGCCGGCCAGGAACACATTTCACGTATGCAAATATAGAAAATGGCCGTTTTATTAACGTATTTTTTAAGCTGGAAATGATAGGTATTTAAGTATGTTGGCTACACGCGCTCGGGGCTAATTCCATCATACTAACATATTAACATCCGAAGATGAGGATATGAAATGAAGCTTATTCATCTCAACAAGTATCATCACCA